GGGACACAGTGGACACCATGTGGGAGTGGTCCACAAGGTCACCTGCTGATCCGGTGTCACAACTTGCCACATGCCTTTTGGCACTCATCTGTGCCACCCTTACATGGGATGGTGCATCTCCCCTCCTCCCAGCCCTGGGGAGAGTCCCAGCCCAGCCCAGAGTGCAGAGTGGCAATGCTCCATTTCCATGGTGATGGTTGGTAGCGTGACAACAAAGGACAGTCGCTGCACTGCAGGGATCATCACACAGGACAGCGGGATGGAGAGGAGAGCGGCTGCGGCGGTGGCTGCAGTCCCCACCTCGGCGAGGACACACAATCGCGGGCCAAGTATCTGCCACTGAAGTTTTCCCCTCTCCTTCCTGCTCCAGTGTGAAAGTCACCCACTGGGATGCAGCGGCCTCATTCTATTCCGTATGGAGCCACTGAGTTCCTGCATGTTCTCTCATAACCTGCCCTGCTCCCAATGCCTTTGTAGGACACACAGCCGCGCTGCCAAGGATGCTTTTCCTAGAGTGTGGTGCCTGCTTTCCTGCCTTGTCTTGCCTGGGTCAAGGAAACATCACCCCCACTCTCTGACCACGGCTCCTGCTCCTGCTCCAGGCATTCACAGGAATATTTCTGTCCCTGCCTCGCTTGGTGTTTGGAGATATGAATTGCTCAGAGTTCGTAAATCACCCCAACAAGGACATAACCTTGATTCCCTGTGCAATACCGATAGATTACCTAACAGGAGGCATGAAATGGAAGAATGGCTCCATTTGTATAATTCTGCATTAAAAATCAGCCTATTCTACAGTTAATGCTCCTGTGAAGTGTCTCCACAGGCACAGGAGAAAGGGGCTGATGCTGGAGAGCAAAAAAGGACCTTATGAAAGGGACTGCACTCAAGTGAGCCTTTGAGGCTTTGGGGAAGTGGGTTAGTGCTGACGGGTGGTGTTTTGATGTTTGTCAGAGCTGTGATCCCAGTTAATTTTCAGACACATTACCAGAGCCGGGGGGTTCTAGGAGCACAGCGGCTGTGCTGGATTAATCCATGTCCAGTCTGCAGTATCAGGGTTGCCTGAGGTGCTGCCACCCCTGAGGGTTCCCAGGCCTGGGGCAGGGGTTGTTCTGTCCCACTCCATGCTGGATGCTCCTTCTTTCCCTCCCTGCACGTGGAGGTTGGTGCACAGTAGTGCCAAGTGCCATGGCAGCCTCTTCCCCACTGCTGAGGACCACGGTGAGCTCACGTCCTCCAGCATCCTTGAAATTAATCTCTTTCACATCAAATGCCAACTGTCCTCCTCTTCAAAGCACACAGCTGCGCCTGGAAAGATTCTGGAAGGGGTTTCATACAGGGGAGGACTCTGAAAGGTGCGTTGGGTGGGAAGGCTGTGGTGGCTCCAGTGCAACATTCACTGTTCCATCACCTTTGAGACTGGATGGACTTGGATTGGCTCAGGAAATAGTCCCAGAGTGCCTGGTGTGCCTGATCCATGTCATTAGCCCAGCAGTTTCTGTGAAATCTGCCCTTGTGCTTGTTGCAGGTAAATATTTGTAGGAGTTTCATTTCCCACCTCACCATCCGTGGAGCCAGGGGAGCAGATTTGTGGCTGGTGGGAGCCAAGACCTCAGATGAGGAGATCAAGGACAGGATTTCATTTTCTCAAATATATCCGCTCTGTGTTTCTTTATCTAACCCAGTTTCAGAGTTTTATTGAGTTTTTCCTGGAGTTTGAACAGTATTTTGGGATAACATTCCCATTCACCTCCAAGATGGGAAAAGAAGTAATGTGAAAATTGCCCACGCTCCTCAAATTTCTTTGCAAAATAGGTTGTGTGTGCTTGTAGGGGGGTGAGGAAAGCCCCGATTCCCGAGTGAGGAGCGTAACCACAGCCCTGCCCAATACATCCCTCTGGCCCTACCTCCAGCCAGGGCTGGCTCTGTGCCCCCAAACCGAGGCAGATGGATGGGTGTGGGTCTGGATGATGTGCTCCCTTCCCTACGCCACAGCCCCTCTCTGGGTGCAGTTAGGGAGCTACCCCATGCACTGGGAGCAGCTCAGGATCCTCTGCCTCCCCTCTGCTGTCCCTGAGGAGCGGCTCGTGCCGTTGGAGAAGTGTTTGAGCTGTTTGATGTCTCGGCAAAGCAGGAACGCCCTCCCGGCCTCCGAGCAGCGGTGACTTTGTGCCGGCGCTCCCGAGAGGCTGGCGGTGCTCTCTCCTGCCTGCCCGGGCGACAGGGAGGCGGAGGCTCGGGGACTCCCGGGGCGCTGTGCCGGGCCGGGCCGTGCTGTGCCAGCCGCAGCGGGCTCTCCTGGGACAGCCCAGGTTTTCTGGGGCAAGGACAAGGTGGCAGGAGATCCGGGCGAGATGTGTCCTCGCTCCGTGGGTGTCCTTCGGGAGGTGTCGCTCCCGCTGGCAGCCTTGGCAGGGTGCTGGGGTGGGGGAGGCAGGGGAGGGCCGGGTGGTCCTGCCTCTGGCCGCGCCACGCGTTGCCGCATCCATCCCCGCCGCCGCGCCGGGCACATCACGCTGCGTTGCCAGGACAACGGCAACTCCTACACGCTGCTATTTATTCTGAAGGACACTTGCTCTTATCTGTTGTTGCAAAGCCCTCAGAAGATCGCATGCCACGCAAAAAATTCCTCCGAGGTAACCGGGCTGGCTGCTTCTGTCGCTGAAGCCATCTCTGGGGACATGCCAGCCGGCGTGGTGGCTAGGAGGACGCTCCTGGGGTGACAGCCCCTTGGGTGGCATCGCTTGACGGGACGTTGGTGGGAGGGTGACCCAAGGTGTCCTCGGGGCAGAGTGGGATCTGCCCCATCTGGGTGTCCCTTACTGTGTCCATCCCCATGCCAGAGCCCCTGACCTGGGCAGCAGTGAGGGACACTGGTGTCCTGGGTGTCACCAGCGCTGCCTGGCCATGCTGGGACACAAATTTCTAGCATGACCCAGGGCAAGACAAGGGCTGGGTGTTGCCTCTGCCCGCACATCCTCCTGATGCTGCTATGAGTGATGCAGCTGTGCCAGGCAGGTTCTGCAGGAGCAAGCCCCTGCAAGTTCACGTTGCCATCGCTGCAGCCTGAAATGTCACAAGGAGACAGGAGGAGATGGAAGCAGGGGGAATATCTGTTTTTCCTATGAGCTGCCAATCCCAAGCACCAAGGAATGGCATTTTGTGTTCAGAAGTTTCCAGGCAGTGGCTGGGGTGCAGTGAGCACCAAGTTTGGGCTGGGCACATTTTCCCTTGCTCTGTTCAGCAGCTGTTCATAAAAGTTCTGAGCGTGAGCAACACAGAGAGCTGGGGAGGGGACGAGGTCTGGGGGTGGGCACAGATAGTGTGAGAGGTGGCACCTGGAGTGAGTGACATGTCAGCAGGTGCCCAGCTCCTTTCCTTCCTTGCAAGGAGACATTTCAGGTGATGTTGTGGAGTTGGGCAGAGGCTGAAATCAAGCCTGACACGCCACAGGAGTGATCCTGAGCACTGCAAAGGTGAGTCTGTGCTTGATGATCCGGCTGGAGGATGAGCTTGTGGCTCCTCACCAGTGGAAGCACAGAATTTGTTACAGCACGTGGGGGACACTCTTCGTGCTGCCACCACTCTGTCGGCCCTTAAAAAAACCCACCACCACCACCACCACGGTTTGGGTGGTTTGTGGTTTTTTTGAAGCCTTGAAATCCTTCCTCCCCCAGCCTGAACTATTTTGGTTTCTGTTGTCTGTTTCTGGCTCTTCCCTTTCTCCTTCTGCGCTCTTTCCTTGCGTTGCCTTCTCCCTCCCCAAAATAAATGTTGTTACGCTTTGAAAAAATACCCAATTAGGAAAAAAGCAGAGATCCTCTGAGTAGAAAAAGCCTGTGCCTGGGAGTATCCAGGTCAGCTCCTTTAGCTTCGCTGGCTCACGCACAGAGGGAGTGTACAAATGCTTCTGTCAACCAGATGCACATTCTGTCGTGCTCCCAAGGACTGTGCGGGCGCTGCTGCAGAGGATTAGCCCGTTTAGCCATGTAAAGCTCTCATTAACTCCTGCTGAGTTCGACAAAAGTCTTGCTCATGTAAAAGCTAAGTAAAATGGAGTAAAGATTTTTGGGTTTTGGCCTAATGATTTTTATTTTTTTTTTTCCTGGGGGGGTAGTGGGGGAAGAAGGCAACAGAATATTTGCCTGGCAGAGATTTTCTTGCTGCTTTACATGGGGCAGCATTGTAGAGGAGACATGAGGGGAGCAGAACCTTGGTGTGGTGCCACTGGGGAAGGGAGAGGGCTGTGACATGACGTGACGTGACGGTGACGTAAAAGCAAAATTCGAACTGCTGAAGCTGCCAGCAGCTCAGGGGTGTTTCAGCTGCTCTGTGGCAGAAAGGGCAGCAAAAGGGGCTGCTCCTCCTGCCCTGCCTGTGCTGCAGGGTCATGTTCAGCTTGGGTGCTCCACGCCGTGGGAGGGGATGTGCCGTGCTCCGTGGGAGGATGTTCCTGCTGCGGCGTGGGTGACTGCCATAGTGGGAGATGGGCTACACGTGCAAACATAAGAACCCACAGACTCTTCTCCAGCCCTTTGAGGGATTCATCATGCTGCCTGTGGGCTTGGGAAGCAAGGGATGGGCTCTCTGCATCTCAGTGTCCCTGCAGTGAAAGCTGGTGCTGCTGGAGCTGGGATGGGCCGTCTGCTTTGGATCATTCACCCAAAAGGGCTAAGTTTGGGCAAAGCAGGGACTGGCTGCTCCTTCAGGGTGTTCCCAGGTAGAATCCGTCCTCAGGTCATTCCCATCATTCCCAGACCAACTGAAAAGTCACAGTTGTCAGTGGGGATCCTCAGACTGCCATGTGGGTGGTGGTAGTTTTTAAGGGGAGGAGGTGGAGCATGCCCTAGGATGCTGTATTAGGGGCTCTGGCTGGAGAACCAGGGAGAAAAACGGAGCTGGGGGATGTTTTGGTTGGCTGAGATCTAGGGCGTGCCATACTGAGATGGAGAGCGGGGTTGCCCCACTGCCCTTCTAACACGATCCCCATCTGTCCACAGGTCAGGTTGCCCGCTCGGAAGCCATGCTTGGATTTTAATAGCCATGTTCCACCTAGCCATGGACCTTGCCAGCTGCCAGCCCCCAGCCACCACCGGCACTGCGGGGAAGCTCTCAGCACGGCCGGCGCTCCGGCACAGACTGTCCCGTGGCTCGCTGTGGGGCACGGGCAGCGGGGAAGAGCTCCAACGCCCCGGCCCCCCCTGGACCTGCGGCCCCGCGCCCCCTCTGCAGAGACCCCGCTCCCGCCGGCCGCCCCCCGCCGCCCCGCTGCCCGCCGGCCGCCCCCTGCGCCGGCCGCGCTCCCGGAGGGGCCGGCGGCACCTGCGCGGCCGCGGCTTCGCCCCCCGGGACGGGAGACCCACGGCGCTGCCCGAGGTCATCGTCTGGGGCCCCACGGGCGAGGAGGACTCGCTGGAGAGCAGCACGCTGCCCGGCGCCTTCGCCACCACCACCGCCACCGCCACCGCCGCCGCCACCACCTCCGCCACCACTGCCGCCGCTGCCACTTCTGTCACGGCCGCCACGCCGCCCCGGGTGCCCCCCAGCACCGCGGCTCCCGCGGCCGGCGGGGACGGGCCCCGCGGCGGCCCCGGGCGCAGCAGCACCGCAGAGCCGGCCGCCGGGCACAGCAGCGGAGGCAAGGATGCTCGGCCGCCGCGTGGGCTGGGGGACAGCACAGGTAGGGTCTGCCGGGGGACAGCGAGCTGGCGGGGACATCGGGAGGGCTGGCGGGTTCACCGCGGCACGGGTGTCCCGCGTGTTTTGTCTTTTTCAGCAGCGCCCCACTGGGAGCTGCTCCAAGGCTGCCGGCCTGGCTGCTGCCAGGGTGGGCGTCACTCCTGACCTGCCACACCTGGGCACGAGCTGCCACCACCCTCCTCAAGCCGTGGGGACATGCTCCCATCGTCACCACCCTCTGGGAACTCATAGCGTGGGGCCAGAAGCCTTTCTCCAAGCCTCACGTTCAGGAGACGGGGTGCCAGTGGGAGGTGGGCAGCCTCCCAGTGTGGCATTTTCCCTGTGAATTCCCCTGGGAGATGAAACCCAGAGGTGGAGCAGCCAAGGAGTGAGCTGGAATTGGCTGCTGCCCACCCTGCCAGACCGGGGGCCACGAGTGAATCCTTCCCCAGGAGCAGGGGCTGCCCCAGTGCTGCCCCCAGGCACCCCCAGCTGCAGCTGAGCCGTGGCCCTGGCACTGACTCCCAGCGTCCCGGTGGCATCGCTGCCTGGGACAGGAGTTAGTGTGACATTAAACAGGCGCTCGGAGGAGAACGGCAGCACTGATTATCGCTTTTATCCCAGGCGTTTTGCAGCCACTTGCTGTGTTTTCCCATTACAGTCTCCATCCACAGCCCATCTCCCGTAATCGCGCTGAGCATCACGCTCGGCACAGCAATGCCTTCCCCCAGCGCTGGCTGCTGCGTGGACATGGATGGGAAAGCTGCTTCCCATTTATTGCAAATTATATTTGTTATTGCTGGTATTAAACCGTGGGATACCGGTGGATAGTTTACAGAATTTACTCACTGTGCATCGACTGCTTTGAGCCCTCTGCGATTTTCTAGTCAAAATGAAAAGGAATTTTACAGCCTAATCTTAATCCCAATTAATTTATCCAGCCTACCCTGCTTGGCAAAAAGAGGCAATGCAACCAGGATGTTGTTCCTGACTTAAAGGGGTTATTTATAGCCGAAAAATAACTCCCAGCCTTTTACACACCTTTTACAAAATGCTGAAATGGGCTGGATAGATCAGCGAGGGAGTATTGATGAGGGCTGAGGCTTTTGCTGCTCGCTGCATGATGAGAGCCTGTTCCCCCCAGACCTGCTGTGGTCAGTGCCTCTGGCCTCAGTGGCATCATCCAGTCCAGAGGGTGGGATCCAGTGGACTTGTTGCCACCAGCCAGCTGCAGGAGCCCCTCTGCCTGCACCAGCTGTGGGAGGATGGCTCCTGGCACGTGCTGGGGCTCTGGGACTTACTGGAGTGGGCTGCCTTGTTTAGGCGAAGTTGAGCTGGCAGTGATGCCACCCACCTGCCAGTGCCACCACTGCTGTCCTGCGTGGCCCCAGAACAACGGGAGCTGCAGCCCTGGCAGCTCCCAGGGGGCCAGCTGCTTTAATCTGCGGGCTTTAGCTCTCATTAGGGGCTTTCTCCGTGATCGGAGTTTTTGCTAATTAACTTCTCTTCAAGCGATAAACTTCTTCCCGGGTCTAAAGGCCCTGTTTGATCCCAGCTCATCCACCCTCAGTTGAAAAGCTTCTGAGGTCCAGATCTGCTTTTCCTTCCAGTGCTGGGGCTGAGCACCCAAGAGAGCTCTCAGTATGCTCCCAGTGGGAGCTCCATGCCCCTGCCGTGCCTCGGGACAGCGTTTTGGGAGCGAGCAGCCGGCACTGTCTCAAAGCAGGGTCCGTGCCAGTTTTGCTGGTGCGGCGCCTGTGCGAAGCCGTGCAGCTTCCCAGCCCTGCTCCGCTCTGTTATATAAGCTGTAGCGGCTGGAAGTGTTTGTTCTCTGCTGGGAAAAACATATGGCTACAAATGAGGATGAGGTAACTCGCCTGTACGGTTTATTTGCCTCAGCGAGCATTGCCAGTCCCCGTCCGGTGAGGCGCCTTGACGGGAGCCCGCGGTGGGCACGGTGCTGCTCTCACTGCCTGTGGTCCCTCAGCTGTCCCCAGCACATGCCTGGGGGGGTCAGGGTGGAACCACCTGTTTGTGGCACCCACAGGAGCTGGCAGAGCTGTCCCAGGGCTCGTGGGGCCACGCAGATCCCCTGCACTCGATTCCAGCAGAGCAGGAGGCTGCTGTTGTGCTGCTGCCCCCATATCCCTCTTGTGCCGTGTCCTTGTATCCCTCTGTGCTTTGCCTCTGGGTCCTTGGTGATTGTGTGGGGCCGTGGGGTCCTTGGGGTGCACACAGGGTGGTAAAAAGACCCACTTCACTTCAGCAGAGGCAGCAGTGCTCACTGAGATGAGCAATGGGAGCAGCTCTGCTCTGTCAGATCATCCTCTCGCCCCCCTTCCTCCTCGCTGAGGAGCGAGAGAAAAAAGCCAGAAACAATGCCTCCGTGAGTCGCTGACAGCAAAAACAAGCTTAAAAAAATTCCCCTGGAATAGGAATCACTCGTCTCAGAGGCAGGAGAGGCAGCACAGGAGTGATAGCAGGTAATGCTTGGGATGAGAGCCGAGGCAGGTTGGCCCAGTGGGTGCTGCTGTGGGGGTTCAGATGACCTGTGGCTCAGGTGTTCCTGTCCTCATGCCACCCTTGCCACGCAGCACAGCACTGCTGGCATCAGCTGGGCGTGCAAGATGTTCACCCAGGCGTAGTTTATGCTTGTGCTTTTCAAAAATGTGCTTCCTTCTTCAGGGCTGTCATAATTGTTTTACTCTGGAGCAGGGAAAGAGAGGAATAATTAAAATTCCAGCATGCTGCAAGTGGGAAGGGCTGTGAGGAGCTTTCACCGGGCACTCTCCACGTGGGCTGGGCTCCTCCAGCAAGGCAGAGCATCCCTGGGTCCCACAGCCTCAGCCAAAGCAGAGAAGAGTGGAATGAATCAGAGCTGTCAGTGCGAGGCAGGAATTGCACTCGCTGGTTTGTCTGAGCCTCCTTTCAGGAGCTTTAGGATAAAGCCGTCTTTAATTAAACCTTTAAGTGCTTTATAAGGCAGAAAACTCCATGTGCTGTCTGCTGCTCTTAGTGGTATTTCATGACCGGTCGCAGCGCATTTGGCACCGCAGTCTGTGAGCTTGTGGCAGAGCTGATGCTCAGGGACACTCCTTCACCAGGGCTGGGGTTCTCCTGGGGGAAAGTGGGGGCCATGTGGGTGTTGGCAGCTGGATCTGAGCTGGTGATGGCCCCAGGCCACTCCTCCTCACCTCCAGCTGGCAGTGTGTCAGGAATAAATAATAACATAGGCGTTGCTTCCCACTGGTGGTGACCCTGCCTCCAGAAAGAGGGTGCAGTAGGGGGTTGCTGGAGGCGAGGAGATAGTAGATGCAAAAAGCTTCAAAGGAATTAATTAAAGATAAAATGTGTTTAAAAGAAAACCCTGGGCAGTGAGGATGGAGCTGCCTCTTTGATCCGCCGTGCCAAGGCGTGGGGTGGTGCCGCAGCTCGGGGACGGAGAGGAGGTGAAGGAGCTGGATGGTGTCTCCTGGGCTGGCACCACGGTTACCCTTCCTGGGAGCTGCCCAAAGGATCCCTTGTAGGGCCATGCATCAGCTGCAGTTCTCCTGAAGGGTGGAGGATGACTGTGGAAGCCAGAGTGGCCGTCAGCTGAGCTCTCCCGACGAGGGATTCGGGACACTCCCCGGGATGCGCGGAACGTGCCTGTGCACGTCCTCCCACGTGCCTCTCAGTGAGCCAGAAACTCTGCTCTGCTGCTCTCCAAGTATTTATTGCTCGTTGATATTTGCTGTAACACCTGAGAAGATAAGTCCCAGTGTATTTAGCATAAACCTCCAGGATTTTCCTTCTTGGCAAAAACATTTTGCAGCAGCAGCAGCAGGAAGATATTTTTTTTCTTTCATCAGTCCAGCTCAAAATACCAGGAAGCTGCCAGGAACCGTGGTGGGTTTTTTGCTGAAAAGCTGCATTTTTACCTCAGGATGACTAACACTCCCTGGGCTGGGTTCAGAGAGATCACTGATTTACCAGGTGGAAAACCAAGCAGCTTTGCTGACCTCAGCTTTGCCAGCAAGAAGGTGTTGGGAAGAGCAGAGCCAAGGCCGTTTGTGATGTGGTGGATTGGGCAGCAGAAGAACTGCCTGTGTACTGTAACAAGGCTTTTCAAGAAGATTTCTGCTGTGTCTCGTCCCCTGTATCAGACCCTTGTGGCTTTTGTAAATTATTTTCCTTACAAGCTATTAGCCAGCAGTAGGTTCATGTTACGGCCAAATCTGGCTGATCCCCCCTGGGAAAGGCCGGCGGTGGCAGCAGGGAGGCCACACCATGCTCCTGATTGAATTGTTCTGTCCGCAAGCAGCTTTATCAGGGGATGAGGTTTTTGGGGCTCAGATGTGATTTCTGATGGCTGGGGAAGCTGTAAAGCCTCTTGAGTCCAGCAGCTTTGCCCCAGCTTCTCCACAATGCTCAGGAGGAGGCATTGGCATCCTGGTGCTCAGGGCTTGTGAGAACAGAGGAAGGGGACTCATGACAGGGATGAGGATGGAATGCTGAAGAGGGGGAGATCCACACAGCATAAGTGTGGGAAGAGACTGGGGATAGCTGTATCTGGCCTGTAAGAGCAACTCCAGTTTTCTCCCTTTCAAATGAAATAGAGTTGTTTTCTCCTTTTTCTAATTTTATGCAGCTTCAAGGCCTTGACGAGGGTCTTCAAAGAGTTGCAGCTCGTAGCTGTTTTTATTGGGAAAATGAAAAATACAGGCTCCCTAACCAGAGCTGTTGAAATAAAGGCCTTGGGGGATAGAGGTTCTCTTTGTTTTTAATTAAGAGCTTATATCTCCTGTTTGCTGCCATGGCGCGCTCCTGCAGTAGCAAGACATTAGTCTCGAATGGATTTTCTCATGGAATTAATTCCATTGATGCAGAGCTGTCCGGGAGCCGTTTCAAAAGGTGGCCAGAAAGGCCAAACCTCAGCACTTTCATCTCAGCAGCAAATATATGGTCTTTAAAATAACAGATAGAAAAAAAAGAAAAAAAGCCCTGGCTTTGGCTTGCTCCGAGAAGATTGGGGTTTTGCCCAGGATGTGGGGAATCGGGAGTTGGGTTATGCTGCCCGCTGGGATTCTCCGGCCCCTCTCCCCCCACCGGGGGGATTTAGAGGCCTCGGTGAGAGCGGAGTGCACACGGATGGCACGAGAGTGGAAAAACCCAGCGATATTTCAGCATTTCCGCGGGTTCAGAGAGCGCCTTTGAAGAGCTTTCCCTCCTGGCAGGCGGCATGCGGAATTCTGCTGCACTAGCAGAAGCGCAGAGGCTTGGACACACTTTCGGCTCCATTAAATACTTCTCCTGTAATTACCCTCCAGTTAAATGGTCACTGCGTCAAATTGCCTGGTAAAAGCCTTGGCAGGGGGAGCCCTCGCAGGGCTGAGGCGTTCGCAGGTGAGAGGGGGTCCCTCCCCGCGCTCCCGCCGCTGCCCTCCCTGCAGCTCCCTGTTTCCACGGTTAATAACGTGTAATTACATGGCCACCGGGTTCCGTGACCCGCTGGGATCGGAGCTTTTGCCGGGGAGATGAGCAAACAAAAGCCAGGCACTGTAATCCCTGCTCCCGGGGTCTCTCTCTGGGGGCACAGGCTCTCATGGGGAGTTATGCCTGTGCCAGGCAGCTACCTGCGCTGGAGGAGGAGGAGGATTTTGCTCTATGAGCTATTGATTTTATCTTCCAAGTCCCCTTCCTCCATCCAGTTGGGCTTTGAGGGCTGTGTCTAAAACACTGCTTTGCCCTTGGCAGCATCTCTGTCCATCTCACCTCAACCACCAGGGTGTTTTATGTCCCTTACAGGGCATTCCACTCTCAGAGAGTGCCCCACACATTAACCCCACCTCTCACAGACTGGATATTTGCTTGGTCTTGCTCCCTATGGCCCTACATTCTTTGAGGGCCTAATAGAAAGTATTTGATATATTTGTAAATTAATAAAGACCTGGAAGTGCTTATTGCAGCAGGTATTGCTATAGGGCTTCCCAGGGAACCATCACGGGCCACCTGTTGGGTCCCTTCCCTCTGTCCATCACCAGCATTGAAACAAAGATCTCCTGTCCCCTTGAAATCCCCCTGGCTTCTGCAGAATTTATACATGATGCAAAGGAACTTTGCTGTGCCGGTACATATGGCAACTTATGTGTGTGATAGAGTCTAAAATTATCCAGCCTTTCTTAAAATCCATGTGTCCTGCTCCAAGGAGCTGCCATCCTTCCCAGTGCTCAGCCACCTGCAATCTGTTCTGTGCCTTTCCCATTACGTAAATGCAAGGATTAATTGCATCGTTAGGTTCTCCCGTGGCCCTGCCACCACTGCCTCAGCTCCCAGTGTTGCAGAAGGTCTCGTCCCCGACTCCGCTTCTGTTTTCAAAGGAATCGGGCACTGGGCTGGTTTGATTTTATTTTTAGAGTCTTTCCTTTTATCTTTTCCAGCAGCGTCCCACTGGGAGCTGCTCCAAGGCTGCCGTGCAGGATGCGGCCGGGCTGGCTGCTCCCAGGGTGGGCATCACTCCTGACCTGCCACACCTGGGCACGAGCTGCCACCACCCTCCTCAGGCCCATGGGGACATGCTCCCATGGTCACCACCCTCTGGGAACTCATAGCGTGGGGCCAGAAGCCTTTCTCCAGGCCTCACCTTCAGGAGACGGGGTGCCAGTGGGAGGTGGGCAGCCTCCCAGTGTGGCATTTTCCCTGTGAATTCCCCTGGGAGATGAAACCCAGAGGTGGAGCAGCCAAGGAGTGAGCTGGAATTGGCTGCTGCCCACCCTGCCAGCCCGGGGGCCACGAGTGAATCCTTCCCCAGGAGCAGGGGCTGCCCCAGTGCTGCCCCCAGGCACCCCCAGCTGCAGCTGAGCCATGGCCCTGGCACTGATGCCGTCCTTGCCACAGACACATACAGATATATATATAAAACTGCTTATTTTCCTGTCATTCTGAGACTTATTTATTTATTAAAACTACCATCCATCAGGAGCTGCAACATCTGTTTGTGAAAAATAGCACATCCTTGGGCTGCAGCCAGGAAAAATCATTTCATTATGAAATTGCAACTGTAAGGCAGCACAAAATCACAAACATAGTGTACAGCGAGCTGCTTTTGTTTCCAAACTGCTCATTAGGAATGATCCACGAGCCAAAATGATACCCCGTGGAAGGTGAAGAGGGGGAAATGAGCCCACCCGACCTGCAAAGCGAGCAGCCATCAGTGCTGTAATTATTCTCCCTGGTGAATCCCGCACCCGGTGCAAGGCTGTGCTCGTCTCCCTTTCCGTCCCAGAGGGGAGACGTCTTCACTTCTCTTCCGTTCTTCGTGCCTAATTCGGGCTGACAAGGAACATACTTGAGAGGATAGGAAATGAGGAGCCTGGCTTACAGATTATTTTGTGTAAGGCAGGAGAGAGGATTGCGGCACTGCTGCCGGGGGCTGTGTGTGGCCTCGCGCTGGGAGGGGCTGGTGGGGGGCTGTGTGGGAGGGGGACTCTGCCAGGGTCCCCTCAGTTCCCAGTGTCTTTTTTCTTCTTTCTGCAGGTCTGGCTGTTCATCAGATAATCACTATTACCGTGTCTCTCATCATGGTCATAGCTGCGCTGATAACAACTCTTGTCTTAAAAAATTGGTAAGGTCCCTCCTGCTCTGCTTGGCTTGGGGGGTGGCGTGGCATGGGGACAGGGTGGGGATGGAGGTGCCCATCCCACTGCAGGTGCCAAAGCCTGTGGCACCTGCCAGCATAGTTTTGAAAAGGAATTGCAGGAGAAAATGGGGGTTTACAGCAAAACTTCCAAAGGAGGTTGGTGCATCGGGGTTCAGCTGTGCCCCTGCAGCTTCCCCACCTCACACCACCTGGCCAGTGGCTTTGGGGACCAGCATGTGCCCAGGCTGGGTGGACAAGTCTCATGGGACACGTGCTTCAGCATGATGCCCCCCAGAAAGGTCAGAGCCATGTGCTGGGCCACAGCAGGTGTTCCCAGGATCTGTCCAGTGCCAGCAGCTCCTCCACCACCTTCCCTAAGGAGCTTTGATGCTGCTCCTAAAATCCCCAGCCTGCCTTGACAAGAAGCAGCTGCACCTCCTGCCCTTCCCTGTGACCCCAGGGACAGAAGGGCACCTTCGAAGCCCCTCAGGTGCCGTGGTTTGAAGCGTGCCCCAATCCCCAGGACACTGCTGTGCCCCTCCAGCTTCATTTGCTCCGGTTTGTTCTCTCAGTGTGGCTGGGCGTATGGCAAAATAGGTTAGCTTTCGCTCCAGGCACTCCTCACTTTACCTATTTTCCCAGGGAAACTGGCCTACTTTGAGGTCAGCGTTGCTGACACGGCTGCAGCGCGGGGCTGGGGGAGCGTGGCTGGCGGCTCTCCCCTCCGGCCTGGCCGAGCTCTGCCTGGGTGCTGCAGAGAATCCATTTCTGCAGCCAGGAGGCAATTACAGCACCGGGTTGATGAGGAGCCTTCTGGCTAGCTGGGATGAGAGGAGAAGCTCTTTGCAGGGCTATGGAGGCATCTTCATCTTGGCAAAGCTGTGATGCTGAGCAGCAACCGACTGAAAGCACCGAGGTTCTGTCCCCACAGCTGAACTTGCTTTGGGGAGCAGCCAGTGGCACTCTCCCCTGTATCTCGAGTGGGATTTAATTCACTGAACTTCCCTGGTTGCTGCAGCGTTTCAGTGAAGGAGCAGGGAGGATAGTTTATGAAACACTTGTGGGATTTGTCTCCAGTCGCAGCAGTGAGCGGTACGAGTCATTGATCCGGCTGACCACAGCTTGGCAGAACAGCTCAGTAACTGCTGCTGAAGCCAAAAAGGGGGAAAAATAAATCCAGTGATCAGTGTAGAATAGAAATGCTTTACAGTAAGTGAAATTGAGAAATCACCAGAGAAAATTCTCAGCAGGAGAGTGTGGGCACCACCCAGGTGTGTCCAAGGCGAAGAAACAGTACCTGGGAGTTTGTTCAGCTCTACCCAAACTGCCTCGGTTCTTTGGGTGACCCCAGATCACATTCAGGTGCTCCATGGCAGGGCTGACCCACATCACACACATTGGCCCTGTCCCCAGCAGGGACACAGTCGCTGTCCCCATCCTTTGGCTGGCATTTGTCCCCCTCGAGCAGGACGGGTGAGCGATGGCTGCGTGCCAAGCCAGCGTCCTTCTTGTCACTGCTCCTCCTGCACGCGTGCTGTGGGGAGACAGCAGTTGGTTTAGGGCTGTCTCTTTCAGTTGCATCAAGCAGAGCAGAGCCAGCAGCCAGATGCTGTCACCTTGGCCAGCACAGCTCCCAGCAGAGCCCCACGCTCCTGTCCCCAGGGGTGCCCCTCCACAGACAGTGCTGGCATCCCCCGGTGGCACCGCCCTCAGAGCTGCCACCTCCCAAAACTCCAGCATTCCGCAAGACGCTGTCAATCCCATCTGGAAAAAGTGGCATCTTAATTAAATCAGTGTCTAGACCCTGAAATAGGACCAGGCTGATTGAGGGCGGCTCCTGTGAGCTGGGGTTCTCCTCGTCTCTGACGTACTGAGGCAGAAGTGTTGTGCAGCCACGAGATCCTTATGAAGCCTCCAGAGCTGGAGGAGCCCCCGGAGAGCAGGGCTGCCCTGCCAGCCATCCCTCTGTGTCACACCAGGTCCTGAGCTCATTTATCCTGAGAAGTTCCAACCTGTTGGCGTCTCCCAAATGGAAAGGGTTTCACTTCATTGTTCTCACCTACATATTTTCACTTAAGAAAAGGCTTTTGCTTCCTGCAGGTACAAAAGTGTGACTCATTAAGTCATTCCTCTGATGGGAAAAAGCTTGTGTCTAAAATGTAAATTTGGTTCTTATAAAAAAGCACCGAGCCAAATGACTGCTTGTGGCTGATCTTTCCAATTCTGAATCGGAATTGGAATTTCTGAATTCTAATCTAGTATGGAACAATCTGTAATGACTGGTCAGTCAGGTGAGTTCCCTTGCCAAGTTTCAGGGATACAGTGTGCTTCCCGTCCGTTCTGCTTTGGCCTTTGAGGCCATAAAAGACTTATAAAAATGATGGAGGGCAACTTTTTACACAGACAGAGTGGGATGGGACAAGGGGAATGCTTTTCAACTAAAGGGAAGACTTAGATTAGATTTTAGGGGAAATTTCTTCCCTATGAGAGTGGTGAGGCTCTAACACAGGCTGCCGTGAGAAGCTGTGGCTGCTCCATCCCTGGAAGAGTCCAAGGCCAGGTTGAACAACCTGATCTAGTGGAAGGCATCTCTTCCCATGGCAGGGGGATGGAACTGGGAGGTTTTTAATGTCCTTTCCAGCCTGGACCATGCCATGATTGTCTTATTCTCTCTCCCTGCCCGCCCAGCTGTGCGCAGAGCGGGCGCCCCCGGCGCAACAGCCACCAACGCAAGCTGGACCAGCAGGAGGAGAGCTGCCAGAACCTGACTGACTTCGCCCCCGCCCGCGTGCCCAGCGCCCTCGACATCTTCACCGCCTACAACGAGACGCTGCAGTGCTCCCACGAGTGCGTGCGGACCCCCGTGCCCGTCTACACCGAGGACACGTTGCACTCGCCCGGGGATTATAAAACCACCTTCAATGGAAACAGGTGAGGTGGGCGCCGCGGTTTCCCAGTGGGTGGGGAGCACCATCCCGCCGTGGTGATGGGGCCCTGGTGCTCAGGGGTGGTGTTCTGGGAGCAGTTTGGCAGAGCTCCTACCTCTCGGGTGCTCACCCACTCCTAGTTCAGTGTGGGATTGGCCCCTGGTTCTGGCGGTGAGGCTGGGTGTGTGCCTCAGCAGCCCCTGGCCCTGCAGGGCTGGGCGAGCTCAGCACCGCACGGTGTTCACCTCCCAGCTGCCTCTGCTCCTGCCAGCACATGAAATGCCACTGGATCCATTTTTCCAGCGCCCGTGCTGTCTCCTCAGTGGCATCGGCAAAGCTGCCGGGCTGCAAACAAGCAGGTGATTAATGGAGGAGCAGGCAGCGAGAGCCAAATGAACCGTTTGGCTGCTGCAAAACAACGGCAAAGTGCTAACAAGGAGCGTCACTGGCAGCCAAGGGATGTGGCCGTGCTCTGCCAGCCCCTTGCCTGGGAGGGGATCAGGAGCAGTGGGGCTGGGAGCGATGTTTCCCACACCACAGGCTGTCTCCAGAGTGCTTTCACTGAGTGCTGGTGTGGCTTCACCATATGGTAAATGTGTGTCCCCATCAAAGGTAGAGAGGAAGCCAGGCAGAGAGTTTTGAGGGAGAAAATGAGCAGCTGATGCTCCTGACAGCCTTGAGGAGCCACAACATGTGTGGCAGCCACAGCCCAGATCTGCCTGCCCCAAGGACAGGCCTGGAGCCAACAATTTAATGCCTTTCAGGCAGCATTGATGCCTTTTCAATCAGCATCTCTTGCGAGTGTGCAGGGTTCTGCTCATCTGCATTTTCCAGGGTTTCTTCACATCTCAGAAGGCGGAGAACTGGCAGGGATTTTCACACCATATTGTTGGGTGCCCACAAGCCTTGGTTTGATGTGAACTCCAGCCAGGTGACAGAGAGTGCCTGTGTTCTGGCTAGCAGAGATCACGGCTTTATCACCATGCAGGGATGCTTTCTGGAACCCTCTATCCCAGAGCACTTCCAGGCAGCCTGGTGAACCCAGGCCCACTCAAAGCATCGCTCTAGAGAGATGTAAAACAGCTGACTGGGCAGCAGGCCGCCCCGGCTTGCACCGTGTGTGTTACGTACCAGCGTGTACAAGCCCCTCTTTCTGCTCACTGCAGACCCTCTTCTTCTGACCGGCATCTTATTCCCGTGGCCTTTGTGTCTGAGAAATGGTTTGAAATCTCCTGCTGACTGGCCGAAGCCTGTTTGACTTCTGGGGGCAGGGCAGACGCCAGCGGGCTGTTTCCTGGTACGTACCGCGCTCCCTGCGTCCATCCCGCACCCCTCCTGTGCCCCTCCTGTGCCCCCGCTGTGCCATCCTCCCTCCTGCACTTCCTTCAGCGTGACTGGACATGGTTCATGCCGTGGATGGGGCACTGGGACCCAAATGGCTTTTCCAGGGAGGTTAATTGCAGACAGGTCAGCACTAACAGGGAGGGACTGGGATGGACAAGGACTCAAAAGCAAAGGGTCCCTGGGGCAGCCTTGAAGTTCAGCCTGATCCCATGGTTCCCAGCCCACCTCTGAAACCTCAGCAAGCCACAGTAATTTCCGTGCTGGGAAATGGCCTGATCTGTAATTAACCTCTGGTGGCATGATGGACAGCCCGCCTCGTCAGAGCGCCACGCATCCATGCACGCTCCACCAGTATCTGAAAGCTCATTTGGGGATGTTGGCTGTCATGAACACTTCCATGCTCACTGCAAGGGTGCTGGGGTCCTCCTCCTCCTCCTCCTCCTCCTTCTCCTCCTTCTCCTGCTGCCCTGCAAGGCCAACCCTTCGAGCACAGTCCCCAGCAGCCGGTCACGCCTGGGGTGTTGCTGTGACTGAAGGAGTGCAGTGATGTTCTGGTTGCAACAGTACAATCTTTGGGGATTTCCTTCTCTTTTGTTGAGTTGGCCTGAGCCGTTTTCACCTCCTTGTGTCACTTTTGAAGGTGGCACAGGTGACAGCAGTGGCAGGAAAAGCCTGTGTGTGCCAGCTTGCCCTGGGCAGCAGTGCCCGCTTGAGCCACGTGCTCAGGTGAATTAATTGCTCTGTCCTAAGTCCCTGCTGTAATGAATCATATATTCAGTGTAAATGAAATTTCCAGCCTTCCCTGGCTGCAGCTCACTTGGAATAGCCTGTTTAACATTATGCACAGCTATTGAACACAGAAATATAATTAGATTAGAATGGAAGGGAATAAAAAGTTAATGATCTTGGCCATGCTGGGGCTGTGGTGTCTAGACAGGGCAGGTGAGATGTGTGCCAGCACAGTGGGGCAGAGGAAGGGATTCACCTGGCATGGCCCCACTGCCCCCCCAGAGCCTCTTCTGGCTGCAGCAGCTTCACTGGTGAAGGTGAAAGGGTCTCACTCCCCATCCACTGATATGCTCATGTTTTTTCTCTGACTCTGTTGTTGTGGCCATTGTCTCAGGGGACAGAGGGCAAAGGAGCCCAGGTGCCAGGAGTGAGGGCAGCAGGAGAATGAGCATGGAGAATTTGCAGGGAACGCCAGCCTCAGCAATAACCCACTGGGCCTTTTCCACCCTCAGTTTTGTAGTTTGGGAAGTCTTTCCATTGGCTTAAAGTGAATTAAAAAGAAATAACACATAAAGCAAGCCAGCTACACTCAGTACCATCTACAGCTCTCCATGCCTCAGGTAGAGGGAAGGAAGGAGCAGCTTGGAGCACTGTAGGAATCCTGTGTGGATCCCACTGCTCCTGCCCCAGGTCCTGTGAAACCCCAGGCCAAAGACTGTGCCCTGGTCACCTCCATAGATTTCTTTAAATAGCCTGAAGCCATACCATTACGCCTTATTAAATCCTTGAAATTCTCATTGATCCGTTTTCATGGAATCCATAAAACGCACATTGACGCGCTCTGGAAAAATCTATCGAGCTCGTACCTGGAGCATTAGCTCTGTAATGGCACTTCAATTACAGATGCAATTCTGGAAGCTGCTGTTTGGTTTCATTAAGGATAACAAAATGAGATTGATCTCAAACCTGTTCTACCTGTTCTCTGCATGTTTGCTCTGCACAGGTGTGTTTGCACCAGGCTGTTTCTGGGACACGCTTGCATAAGTGGTGGTGGGAAATCCCTCAGGTGAAATGAGCATTCCAAGTTTCATGTGTCACTGTGTAAGGTGCAGATGGCATGGAGACGAGCTCCCTGCTAGGCTGTCCCTGCCACCGTGGTTGCCTTGTGCTGTCACCAGCTGCCAAGTGCCAGAGGAGCAGTGGGATGGAGGGAAGCAGAGGGGTGGAGGCATGGAGGATGCCTCTCCAGCTCTTGTTTCTAGGGGAGAGGCTGGTGGAAAAGGAGATGCAGCTGCTTGGGCTGCACCGCTTCCGGGGGAATGAGTATTTCCTGGCTGGCATCCACAGCTGCAGCAAGGTCACCTGAAGGGGACAGTTGCTGTTGACCCACTGCACCACAGCAGAGGAGGAGGATGCTCTGGAGCATGTGCAGCTTTCTGGCTGGAGGGGCTACACGCAGCTTTCTCCTCACAGCCCCTTTCTCCTAGTGTTTTACACATTTTAATTGACAGCACTTCATAGCTCTGAGCTGTCTCGTTGGCACATTAGTGCTCCTGATGGTGTGGGGCCAGAGCTGGAGGCACAAGGCAGGTGGCATGTCCCAGGACAGGGATGGCAGGACAGAGGTGCTGCAGATGTTTTGTGGAGATGACCACTGGCAGCCAAGTTGGAATTTAATGTGAACTTCACATCTGACAGTCTATCAGCCTGGTGTGAGGACTGCCCAGCTGGCACCTTGGCCTTGGGTGATGCCAACAGCATCATCAGGCTGGGCTGAGCAGTTGAGGCAGCAGATATAAGATGCTGAGCATCTCCAGCCCAGAAAGCTGCAGGCAGCGCCACGGTTGTGTCAGGAAACCTGGTAAAACTCACCCAGGTACACAGGGAGCAGATGTTGAAGCTGTTTCCTGGGGTCACATTCCTCCTGTGCCAGCAGGAGCCACGGGGAGGGTTCCTGTGCTGCAGACGTGGTCCCTGCCAGGGCACCGTCCCTCCCCACAGCAGGTGATGCTGCCCGTGGCAAGCAGCTGGTGGAGCTTTCCAGCAGATTGCCTGTGCTGGCTTCTGGGCCCCACTGGAGCACCAGCTCCTTGGTGGATGTCACACCCCAGCAGCAGCTGCTGGCAGCTACTCCTGCAGGCAGAGAAGTCAGTCTGTCTGCAGCAGCAGTGCAGCCCTGGGCTGGGTAGGTGAGGAGTGGAGCAGTCAGTGGAAGGTCTCAGGAGTTGCCTGAAGGGAGGGATGAAAAGGAAAACTTCTCTTGCTTGGTGGCAGTGGTGCTGGAGGAGGACCCAGACAGAGGCAGGAGCACCACAGCTCTGCAGACCAGCACAGGACACATGCCAAAGACTTGAGTGGCTTTGTCCAGGCACCACAGCACAGGATGGCTGGTTTGGCTTGATTTCATCCTGGCTTTGGGGCTTTCTGAAATGAAGTTTGAGATTCCGCATTATTCTTGCCCTTAATCCCACTCTCTTTGACTGAAAAACCCCATGGAATGGGATTATACAAAAATCTGTAAGGTTGATCAAGCGCTGACCTACTTTGCACAAAGAGGCTATTTGGGATACAATACCAATTGTACATCCTGCTGTCCTGCATTAACCAGTGCCCACCAGGAACGCTGGGCACCGCTGGCAGGGAGGGGACAGTTTGGGGCCCAGCAGCTGTGCTGGTTTGGTGACACAGCCTGACCCTGCCCTGGCACAGCGCTGTGTGGCAAAGCCACGCTCGAACACGGCAGCAGCTGCTGCTGGCCCCGTTCTGCCTAACAACAGCAAATGGTTTGTGTTAACATTAACAGATAATGAGTCATCATAAAAGATCCCAGCTTGTCTTTGGAGGAGTAGCAGCAGTCCCAGCACAGCCCCGGCGCAGGAGATTAAGGACTCTGGAAAATCTGTCTCACTAATTAAGACTTCAGGGTTGTTCTTGGAGATGGTGTATTGGGCATCTTGCTTTAAAAATAACAGGTTTTTTTAGGGAAAGAACCCTGGAACAAAAAGCACACCACATTCTGGATGCTGATCCAGGCCAGGCAGAGGACACAGATTAGGGATGTGTGGATTAGCAATGTGTGTCCTGAGCATGCCTGTACAGGGTGTAGGTACCTGCTGGCAGCTGTCTTTGGCACACCCAGCTGTGCTACAGCTCATTAAATGTCACAGACATGTAGAGCAAGTGGCCACACGCCAGTGATGGGGAGTGATTGTCTTCACATTGAGGGTCCAAGATTGCATAGGAAGACATCTTCCAGTAGATGGTAAATAAATAGCTTAAGGACTTTTATAGGATCTCTGGTTCGGTGCTTAACCAATTCCCTATTGATTCTTTAGATTTAGCTTTAGAAAATCTTGTTAGTGCTTGTCATCAACTGCTTGTCTGCCAGAGCACTCACACTGCTCAAGGCACGAGTGTGAGAAGCTGCAGAATGCAGGGATGATAGGGAGTAAATCCCACTCTGGAAAAGGCCCTGAGGAGAGAGAAGTAGTGGTCCCAAGACCCAGCACAGACCAGAAGCTGCAGAGGAGGAGGAGGAGGAGGTCACTGATAGCCCGCTCCCCCAGGAATCCCACAGCTCCACAGCCAAGGGGGAAGGAGGAGGAAACCTCTAGGCTGTGAGAGATCATCCAAGCAGTGAAGCAAGACATGGTGCAAATTCCCTGTCGTGACTTAATCTTTCTTTTTCTTCTCGTCCTCAACAGGATTCCATTGGTGAACCTGTAAAAAATATAAAAAAATAATGGGTTACCTGTACCTACCATTTCTGTTTACCAGTAGGAGACTCAAAGAGCAGCGTTCTATGGGCCAAATATATTTTTATAAAAATGAACACGCCTATAGGTAACTGCGTTGTCAAGGAGCACGTTTTTGGGAGGAGAGGAAGGAAAGTGTGCGAGTAAAGAATCCCGTGGAGGAGGAGGAGGAGGAGGAGGAGGAACCAGCAAGGGATGGAAAGGGAAGGATGAGCGCCTGGAGCCCGGCCATGGACGGTGACTCTGAACCTGTGCCAATAATACCATTATGTGCCATGAACTGATGCAAAGACTTTGCAAAGAGCTGAGACAATAATGCCTGGAAATGTTGTGGAGGACAAGTGGGGCATCTCTTCTGGTGGGGTCATCCATTCCGGTCCATACGCGTACATACATACGGTATATGTAAAGAGAAAATATATATATATATACACACACAAACACTTTTTGTACTGTAGCAATTTTTGAAGATCTTAAATACTCATTTTTAAAGAAGATGTCATGGGCTAAAAGTCTCATTTCTTTAACACGCATCATGCAAACTGGGTGATCTGATGTTTTCTACTTTGGCAGCTTGCCTGTCAACCTATATGTGTATATATAGGTAGACATATATACATATATATACGTGTGTGTGTGTATGTATAGACATATATATGTATGTATACATATATATATATAATTTTGGTTCTTTTCGGAAATGCTTTTCCAGCGACGTGACCGTGGTGGGAGACAGCTGGGGCTGTGCTGCCGGCAGGAAGCAGAGGAAAAGCTTCCCAAAACCATCCAGAGCACAGCTCAAGGCGGTGCTGAAGGTATTTCCAGGCTTCTGTATCCCAATACATCATCAAAGTCAATGGGAAGAAACTGGAAAGCCTGAGCCTGCCCCGTGTCCACACTGCTGTGATTTCTGCCGTGCTAGGCATGACACCTCGAGGCTGGACGGGGCAGATTTTAGGGGTGGACTTCCAAAAGATGGGCCTCTCTTGGCACAGAAGAAAAATTTTAGGAGTGGGGTGTGGGAAGGTTTTTGGAAAATGGCTTCTAAATTGGCCACAGCACCAAAGCTTACTCAGCCCTGTGTGAGAAACCAGAGGAAGGAGCTCGTGTCCTCCTCCCCCAGCCTGGGGCTGTGGGATGGAGAGAGCCTCTTCCTTTGTTCTCCCGGTCTTGGCTGGCTCTGCTGCAGCAGGAGAAGACTCAGCCGGCTGCCCACAATCCTGGAGATCTCTTAATAGTGTTTAAAGGGAATTTTTACCAGGGAAGCACGATTCTGCAGGCTCCGGTTTGGTGCGTTGCTCTAGAAACACGTCCACGCCCGTCCAGCTCCTGCTGGGGTGGGTGGTGTTCGTGGGTGCTGACCCTAAACCCTCTGTCCAAGTCTTTCCATGGAGTCGGGTGCTGCCATGCCGTGCTGCACATCAGACACTGGGATGGGTCTCTCTTGGGTCCCTTCAATGTCAAAAGGGTGGAAACGACAGCAGAGATCAGACCAAAGTCCTCCAGTTCTTTTTGTAAACTGCCCTTGGTAAATACTAGTGGTTTTTTAGAATTGTCCAGATCTACGTTTCTACTCCCCCACTGATTACTCAGCTCCTTTTCTTTATGATAATGAACGTGCAGTTTAAAAACTAACAAAAAAAAAAAAAAGTAGAACCCTGTGGTGTTGCGCATAGCCACGCGTGCGGTCTCTTGTTCCCGTGTCCTTTTCTGTCCTTTTCCCATGGAATTGCACAGTCTGGATTATTTGTCCTGAATTTTTGGACGCTGCCTCAGACAGAAGTCTTCCTTGCCAGCCCTGACAATTACCTGCGGACTTGAGCCAACCATCCCCTGGGCAGAGCAGTGTCTCCTGGGTGGCTCATGTCTGGCTCTCCAGAGCACTGGATGCCTCCAGGGAGAAGAGGAGACAGTGTCTTGCTAGAGCAGTGGCCTCCAAAGCTTTAGCTGTCCCTGGGAAACATGGGGAGTGTCTGTCCTTGGGAAGCATGGAGTCTGAGCAACTGCTCCAGGGTCATCTCAGTGTCCTGGGGCTTTCCTGTGACGCTGGTGTCAGTGGTGCAGCCCTTGCCCACAGGCTCTCCTCCCTTCGTGACTTCATGGGAATCCATCCATGCCAGCTTTGAGCCATGTTCCTTGTGCTTCTCCCCTTAATCTTCCTATTTGTTTCATTCCCACAGGTATTCCAGTGTAATCGCGGTAGCAGTATGACAAGAAATTTATCTCAGCTCCTTCATTGCAGGGCATCTGAAGCAGCATTCTGTGTTTCTGCATGGATGGAACCTGCTGCCCGCAGGGAAGTTGTCAGGCAGAGCTGGGAGATGCCAGGGCAGCACGGGCAGCACCGGTGCAAGCGGTGGTGATGATGGCAGTGGTGATGGACAGGCACCTGGCTCACAGGAAATTCCCTGTGGAGCTGGGGAAGAGGAAGAGAAAACGTGTGTGTGTGTATGTGTGTATGTGTGAGAGAGAGAGAGAGAGAAGGAAGGTGAATCACTGTGACCCCGAGGACGGGCACAGGTTTTAGAGAGCAGGACTTGCATGAGCTTCTCCCCCAGTCTGCAGCAGGACATGTCCTGATCTCCCCAGAGCTGAGCAGTGAACCAGGGAACAAAAGTAGATGCACAATCTTCCCTTATTTATAAGGACCAACAGCACTTGCACTTTATCAGAGGAAGCCTCCCCCCATCCATGCTGGGCCACTGCGGTGGAGGGAGAGGAGGAGGAGGAAGGGCTGGGATGGAGCTGCTGATACAGCGATGTACGAGGCAGGATCCAGGCATCCCAAGGTCTTGCACAGTGAAGAGAAATGAACTGTGTTGATTTCATTCCCTCCTATTGATGAAAGCCAAAAAACAAGAAAAAAATGAGAACAGAAAGTGGCATTTCCATGGCATAGTCTATTGAGTAGATCTTCCCACTGTGGAAAAGCAGGGAAGCATGGTGTTCTCAGACACACTCCTGTGGGAGCTTTGTCATGTTTTGGGCACATCGTCTCACCCCAAGGTTCTGGAAGCTTGAAAAAAGAAAAGTTTTGCTCCTTGCTTTGCTGTAAGCCCTCAGCCCACTGCTGCTTATTTGTTTTCTGTTCATTTTCCAGATTCCTTAGCCCCTGAACAGTCCCTGAGAAACACACCATGGCAGCCAAGAGGCTGCCACATTCCCCAGGCACATCACGGAGTGTCTGTGTGTCACTTGTGGCTCTGTCTTAGGGGAGAAGGTGGTGTGGCACAAGCCACCCATGGCAAGGAGAGGTTGTCTCTCCTTGGGCTCTGCAGCAAGCCCAGGCTTCCCAGGGCCATCCATCCCTCCACATCCCTTGCAAACCCTGAGCAGGAGCCACAGGATGTGCCGCTCCCACCGGGCCGGGGAGTCGGTGCTGCCACTGCTGCCACCAGCACCTGTGGGCTTTGTCCTGCACCAAACCGAGCAGGTCTGGGGCTCCAGGGCCGAGCTCCCACGTCATGGCACCAACAGGTAGAGCAGGCAGGGTTTGGTCCTCAATCCCCTGACCTTTGGAAGCCGGGGTCCCCCGAGGGTGGCTTCACCCCCCAGCACCCCGGGCAGAGCCGGTCCTGGGCAGCCGCCTGTCTCTCCAGATCCGATCGTTTACCTTCACTCTGTCTTCCCAGCTGGAGAAAGGGCGGCCGGTGGTGGTGGCAGGAGCTGTGCTCCAGAGAACACCAGTGCTCCATGGGGCACCAGTGCTCCATGGGGTCAAGGGCACCGTGCCTGCCAGGAGGTCACCGTAGCGATGGCAGAGCTGGCGCAGGGACGGATTTCAGGTTACCTCTTCTCCACTGGCAGCTTGTTGCGAAGGAAGGTAGTTCAGCTGAAACGGTAGTTAAATAGTAGATATTCTACACATAATATATATTTTGTAAAAAAAAAAATTAAAAAAATAAAATAGAACAAAAATATATCTATCCTATCTCAGCCCACCCATTTCAGGATGAATGTGGTTGGAATTTTTGTTCAACCGGATATTAAATCTGTACGCGATTTTTTCAAAACCAGCAAGAAATCCCTTGCCATTTCCAAGTCTGTGGGTTTGGTCTCCCTAGCTCATCTAACGCTTCTCACACATTTTTAAGAATTACTCTCAGCATTTGTAGGTACATTTTTAATAGTGTCACGAGTGGAAATAATATTTACTTTGAAAAAAGTATATGTTGCACAAAAATGTACACTAAGGGCACAGATTTCTGACCCAGATTCTTCTATTTTAGGTTCCAAGGGGTTTATTTTTTTGTTTGATAGGACATGTACAGTGAAGTTTACACTTTATTTTTATTTTGCCAAAACCCGTTTTCTAACATGAGACAGTTTTACTTTGTAACCGGTTTTACATCACTGAGTACTTCTTTCTTTTCCTGGGAAAATCCTGCACCAGGAGGCATCCGGTGGAAGCGCCGTCACCTTTTGGCATTGTGGCTGCCCCACCCACCCACAGCGCGGGCTGGGGCAGTGCCAAAAGGACCTTTTCTTCCTGAGCGGTTTTTAATTTGTCTCTGTCCGTGGAAGCCGTGTATTTGGAAGCACTGTAAATGCCACCCTGTCCCCTTGCCCTCTGTATATTTAGTACTCTGATGTTGCTATTAAAACTGATATGAGAACCGCGCAGCCGCTGCTGACTGGATTCCTCCGCGCGCGGCCACGGTCCCTGGGGAGGGGACGGGGTTGGTTTGGTGTCCAGGGGGATCCATGTCTCAGCAAGGAGTCCAGAGGCTTCCCTGGGGAAATTCCCCTGTTCCCAGCTGTGCACACCTCGGGTGAGCAGCAGGGAAATAGCCCTGCCTTCATCCTGGGAAGAGGATCTTGTGCATCCCCTTGGAGTCCCCGCCGCGGCAGTGCCACCTCCACACCCTGTGGCACAGGCAGGAGGGTGCCAGGTCCCCAGGCTCACCCAGTGTCCCCCAGGGCTTTGAGGGGACCCCGTGTTGCCTTGGGACAGCTGCTTGGAAGAGGGAAGCCATTGAACAGGATTGTTGGGGAGTTAATTAAACATCACTAATGATGCCTTAAACAAACAG